AATTTCTTTTACCTGCAGTGACCCTCTTGCCAAACACCAGACCTGCACTATGCAGTGCAGAAGTGAAAGTTTCTCAGAGCTAAGATGGCAAAATCCAATTCAGGAGGAGGCATTGAGCATCTAAGTAACAGGGTAAGCAGCAAACCCTGTCTGTTACCAATTAGTATGAGAAAAGGACAGAATTAATAAGCAGCTGCCTTCAACCAAGATGGGATGAAAAGGGTTTTGCTTTAAGGCTCCTCTCCATGTTAGAGTAACAAACCAAACAGAAAAACAAATCAACCCCCAAAACCTACTGGTGTTTTCATTAATCATTTCTGACTCCACACATGAGCATACTGCAGATTCAGCTTCTGTACCCTGCCAGCTTGGCCAGCTCTTCACTGCTGGGTGTGTAATTAAAATGCTGTGTCACCAGCCATGGAGCAGCAGCACCAGATCCCTGCGCCTGCTGAAGGCAGCCAGAGCTCCCCAGACAACCTGGGAGGAATATCAGATCTCACAGCACAGCACTAACTTGCCTCTAAGTGTTTTACATGGGTAGATCAGGCCATCAATCCCAAACCTGATTCCTCTTTTAGCAGGCTGGAGCGGGGGAAGCACCACAGGGCTCGTTCCCAGGCAAGAGCTCCTCACCTCCCAGCCACACTTGCAGGCTAAAAGCACCAACAGTCAGAAAAGGAACATGATCTTCTCAAGTTCTCAAAATCTGTTGCAAGCTTTTCCTTATGGTGTGTTGGGAGCTTTGCATCATTTCTTTTCTGCCCTGATTGCTCAGAACACAAAGGGGCAAAACCCTCCCAAGTAATGCTGCCACACTGGGCTCAGCCTCCAAACAGAAGCTCCTGGAGATGCATGTGAGTTCCACCATGTCCTCAGGTGGCTGTGGGCACATCCCACCTGCTCCTTGCTTGCCCCCCTGTACAGGACAGGGTGACCTGTGCATCCCTTCCAGGCACTGCATGCAGCTCTGCCATCCTGCCTGTGCCAGGGCTTTGGCCCAGTGCAGACACAGACAAACAAATTCTTTGTGCCTTGCTGAAGAACAGAGCAGTGTCTGGTGGCAGAGACAGGAGGCAGGATTGACAGGATTTTACTAAAAGTTGCCTGAGTGAGCTGGAGCTGCAGCCAAACATCACAGCCACAGCAAATCCTCCATGGTTTATTCTCCCTGCAATCCCAGAGTCAAACCCAGAGTGCAGAGAGCAAATGTGACCTCCTGAGAGCAGAAGAATTGAGATCTGTCTCTCAGGACTCTCCCAGCCTCTTCATCCCTGGGTAAAGCCATTGAATAGGAAGATAAAGCCAGGCTCTAAGGAGCTCAGCAGTAGCCCATGAGTGACCAGCTGCCTGGTTTTCCTTCTCTGAGCCTGGAGTGTGAGCACCCTGCACGTGGCACAGGCTGCAGCAGCACAGACAGACACAGGAGACAACAGGAATGTTCATCAGACACAGACATCCCATAACAAAAAGGGCAGAATTTGCTTCTCCTACACTGTTGCTTTTATCCTCCCTTTCCAGAGAGCCAGAGATGGAAACAAAGGAAAGGCAGAAAGGACAAGTTGCTGAAACAAGCCACCTGCCCAAAATGAAATGGTCTGAGCCACATCTGTAGAGTCAGCAAGAAAAAACTGTGTGCACAAAAACCCAGCGACTTGACACATCAAGTGCTGAGGTGAGATAATAAGTTTGAGGAGAAAACTAAACAACAAAAAGAGAAATGAAAAGATGCCCTGATGAAATATCTGAAAATATCCTCTGATAGCAGCTCCTCAGGAGAGGTTGAAATGCTCAGGGTGGGATGTGCAGGGACAGGAGTAAAGATCCTTGTGGGTCCCTTCCAGCCCAGGATACTCCATGATTCTGAACAGCTCAACACATTCTTCTCCCAAAGCCTTAAGGATTCCCAGATAGCTCTGTAATAATTATTTACTCCCAAGAAATTTTAGTTTTCAAACATCTTTGCTGAGACAACCATAGCAAACCAAAGAAGGGGTGGGCTGTACGTGGGAGGGCTAAAGGTCAGGACAATTATTTATGGAAGGTTTATGCCTTTGTTGCAGGGCTTGATGTGTCATTATTCTTGCAACTCCACCTCAGAGGTATTATTTTCCTAAACCCAAATCCCCTTTCCTTCCCTCAAACTCCACAAGGTTTCTACCTAAAATTAAGTTAGCATTTAACAAAAGCAAAACACTGTAATTTTAGAACCATATCACTTCAAGTTGTTTTATTTTTATGCTCGTAGGAGAAAGAAAACCTTTAGTTCCTATGAGCCTTTTGTCATGACAAACCACAATGATAATTACTGGGAAGCTGCTCTTGCTAAAACCTCCCAATCCGGCTGTCACTGGGAAGCCAGACAAACATTCCCAAAATAACAACTAAATAATTGATATTACTGGAGTCACAGAACACAATACCTTGAACAAATACCCACCAGCCAGCCCCTGTCACTGGCACCTCTCCCTGCCTGTGTGACCTGCATGGTTCCTGCTCTGAGAGCAAGGTGGGAGGATATTCATGTAATTATTATCCAAAGGCCATCAACAGTCTGTGCAGAGACCCACAAAGACATCCTTAGTCTGACTGTGCTTTAACCACAGGGTGATTTTAAGTACCTAATCTAATCTCTTGAAATTCCCTTGTTGGTAGAAATGGGCAATCTAAGAATTTATTTTGCCCTTCAAAAGGCAGAGGTTCAGAGTAATTCTGAATCTTTACATGGTTAAGAGCAATTTTGTCTTTTCTCCAGTCTTAATTATATTCTCATTTCAAAAAATCTCTATCTAACCACAATTTAGATGATTATTTAATGACTAGAACAGCATTCTGTACCCTTCCAGGGAAAACACAGTGCTCACACCATCCCTGTGCCAGCCTGGAACCCCTGAACAAGCATCTCAGTCTGTGGCATAGCAAGTATTTCAGAGAAGGAAGAAACATCCCATTGATCCACTCTGCCCTTAATCCTCTTCAAGTCCTCCCCATTCAGGGATGCAGAAATGAGCAGAGTGATGCTAATGGCCCATGGCTCCTTGCTGAATGGGTGATGAGCATCCAGAGACCCCAAAGCCAACACAGCAGCAGAGCAGCTTTGCAGAGAGGGACAGCACAGGACCAACACAGTGACCCTGCTCCTCCTTACCTCAGATCCTGCACACCCACAGGTGGGAGCTTGCAAATTAAGTAGTAGAATAAAAAAACAAAAAAAACAAACAAAAAAAATAGTTTGGCAAAAATTACAGCAATGTTAGAGAAGGAAGGAAGGGAAGGAGCAAAATGTGCTGCCAGCAGTACAGGAGTGCACATATTTAGCATGACACAGGCTCTGGTAGAGGCAGAGATATCAGCTGGGAACAAATAACAAACCACAAATGCTCTCTATCAGTGGATGAGAAGCCTCCTGAGATACTCAGATAAAACAGAAGCTCCCCTCTGCTGCTCTGCTTTGTGTCTCCACAGGACAGAGCTTGTCTCAGAAATGAAATCCAGAAACCAGCCCAGGTGAGGGGCTGTGAAAGGGAGCAGGATCAAGGCACCTGTGAGACACTCGAGGAACCAGCTCTGGCTGCCTGAGCACCAGTGACTGCTCAGGAGGAGCTGGCACAAAGGAGCTCCAGCCTTTCCTGCAGCCAAGGCTCCCCTGAAGCACGCGCTGGCCCAGCGACAAAAATGTGATATTTCTGTGCACTTCAACAGACAGACTGCGTGCAAATTAGGGGGTTATTTTTTTTGAGAGCTGTATTTCAAAGCACTCCTTTAAAGCAGGGCTTCAAGAACACTGATGGAGACAACGAAGGCGGCGCTCGCTTGAGACAAAGGGAGACTCGATTTTGTCTCAACAGAAAACTCTCCAAGTAGAAAAGGATTCCAAAGAAAAATGCCAGCAGCAATTTATTTCTAAAGCTCACTGGGGTTTCAGATGGAATTCTAACAGAGTGCCCAGCACACACCCTGTCCTTGTGTCTGCAAAAACACACCCTTCCTGTAAGGTAAGGCTGTCAAAGTGTATGGGTACCTGGGGGCTTGGAGGATTATAAAGATGAGAACATTGTCCATTAGAGGACATAATTCCTCTTACTGCTCAAACTTTGAAGAGCTTTGAAATAGTGTGAGCCATTTCCTAATGTAAGAATCCATAAGGGAAAAAAAATCCAAAGTGTAGGCCAACAGAAAGAAACGTCATCTTTCGTGCCCTGGTCACCTCCTGGTATTAAACCATTATGAGAAGTCTCAAGAGGTCACAAACACTCATGTTCCTTCTGCAGAAATTCTGCACAAATCCCCACAGCAGGTCAAGTTTGTGTCATTCCTCAGTGTCTCCTCCCCCAAATGCTGCCTGCAGAGCAGTGCTGGTGTCCCAGGATCTCTGTTATCCTGAGGGATCTGTCCCAGCCCAGGGACAGCTTTTGGATCTGGTGGATGCACCAGCACAGAATCCTGGAGTAGTTTGGATTGGGAGGGACCTTAGAGCCCATCCTGTCCCACCCCATGCCATGGGCAGGGGCTCCTTGCCCAGGCCAGGCTGCCCAGAGCCCCCTGCAGCCCATCCAGGATGCCCAGAGCCCCTGCAGCCCATCCAGGATTCCCAGAGCCCCTGCAGCCCATCCAGGATGCCCAGAGCCCCTGCAGCCCATCCAGGATTCCCAGAGCTCCTGCAGCCCATCCAGGATGTCCAGAGCCCCTGCAGCCCATCCAGGATGCCCAGAGCCCTGTGCAGCTCTGCCAGGATCCCCAGAGCCCTGTAGAGCCCTGCCAGGATGCCCAGAGCCCATGGAGCCCTGCCAAGATGCCCAGAGCCCTGTGCAGCCTATCCAGGATGCCCAGAGCCCTGTGCAGCCTATCCAGGATGCCCAGAGCCCTGTGCAGCTTTGCCAGGATGCCCAGAGCCCCTGCAGCCCTGCCAGGATGCCCAGAGCCTTGTGCAGCTCTGCCAGGCTGCCCAGAGCCCTGTGCAGCTTTGCCAGGATGCCCAGAGCCCCAGGACAATGCCCTACCTGGCCCCTCCGCCGCCCAGCACCAGCGCGATGGCGTTGCCCGTCAGGACCCGGGCCAGGCGGGAGAAGTCGGAGTGACGGTCTGGAACCTTCTGGAACACACGTTCATACATCTCCACCTGCAGAGGAGAGCCAGGCACGGTCACTGCATGGGCAGGGCAGCCAGCAGCAGCCTGCTAAAAGATGCTGCAAAGATGAGGAGATTGAGATTGGAGCTTCTCTCTTGTGAGGGAATGCTGGGGGAGCTGGTGCTGCTCAGCATGGAGAAGACAATGCTGAGAGGGGACATCATCCCTGTGTGTCCCTGTGTGCAGGGAGGGCTCAGGACAGGGACCAGTCCCTGCTCCATGGGGCCCAGCAATGGCACCAGAGGAACTGGCAGGAGGTGATGCCCAGGAGCTCCACCTGGACAGCAATAAGAATTTCTTTCCTGCGCAGTCACCGAGCACTGGACAGAGACCAGAGAGGCTCTGAGATCTCCCTCACTAGAGATTCTCCAAGCCTGTCTGGGCACAATCCCAGGGTCTGCTCCAGGGACCCTTTTGAGCAGGGAGGTGTGACTGAAGGAGCTCCAGTGGTCCTTTCCAGCCTGAAGCTGTCAGTGATTCTGTTACAGCTCTTCTTCAAAACAACAGAGGCTTGTGAACCATCCAAACAGTTCTAGTGGCCAGTGGCCTCTCTGAGTCTTCTATAGCTGCTGGGGGTACTACAGAATTTCCTTTACAGCTTCTTTGTCACAGACATGTTTTATAAAAAATCCTTTCCTTAGGATTTTTTCTCCTGAGAAGCTGAGAGGCCTCAGGAACAAAATGTAACCAATGGTTATCTGCTGCTGTGGAATGCAACAGGTGCATCTGGGATTGGGCTCATGTGGTTGTTTCTCATTAATGGCCAATCACAGTCTGGCTGTTTCAGACTTGCTGGTTAGTCACAGGATTTTGTTACCATTCCATTCTTCTTCTTCTTAGCTAGACTTCTGATGAAATCCTTTCTTCTATTCTTTTAGTATAGTTTTAATATATCATTTACTTTTAATATAATATATATATATCATAAAATAATAAATCAGCCTTCTGAAACATGGAGTCACATTCTCGTCTCTTCCCTGGTCCTGGGACCCCTGTGAACACCATCACACTTCTTCTCTTCCTTGACAAGGATTTAAAGTTCTTGGGAAGCATCCCAGACTGCCTCTGCCTCATGTTCAGCACAGCTTTGGGAAGCACAGGGATGCTCCCAACAAGAAGGACTCTACTATGGTCTGTACACACCTTTCATTGGGACTCTGAGACAGTGATTACTCTTTCAAGATATCAAAAAGCCAAGTCTGTATCCATAAAGAAAACCTGGTCCCTTATCCCTGTTCTCTAAATCCAGCTGAGGCCAAACAGATTTTTAAAGAGTGTGGTCTCATATTTCAGTGGGACTCCTCTGAGAAAGATCCTTTTTTAATAATAGAATGGGCTTGTTAATAATAGAATGGGTTTTTCTTCCTTACAGGTGTCCAAAACCAGTTTTTACAATTAAGGAGATGATAGCCCAAATTATAATGAGAGCCAGAATGAGATTGCTGACCATGGTAGGCCAAGACTTTGTAATTATCTATTTACCTTTGAAAAAAAGATTACCTTGATTGGGTGTTGCAAAATTCAGAGGATTTGCAGAATGCATTGTTAAATCTCTGTGTGTAAGAATAGGGTGGACTATGATCACCCCAGATCCCCTTTGACACACACATTACAGATCAAGTGAGACACAGCAAGGGACCAGCCACCAAAGCAGGACTGTCTTACCAGCTTGGGCAGGCTCCTTTTGGAGAAGACTCTGCGTGGGCAGTGGATGTGGAGGTGAGCAGAACACCAGCTCCTCATGTTGAGCCACTCCACGGTGCGGGACGGGAGGGGCCCGTCCTCCTTGTGCAGCAGGATCAGCTGCTTCTGGGCCCTCACTGCCGTGTTCTCCAGCATCCTCTCCAGCTGCACATGGACACCCAAGGAAAGGACAGTGAGTCCTGGCTGCTCCAGTCTCAGGATGAAATACATCCACACACCCCCCACACCCCTATTCCCACCTGAATCCCGCTCTGCACACTCACAGCCCCCAAACATGACTGATTTACACAACAACACTGCTAACTCTGGGCTTACACAGCACACAGAGGCCTAAAATCAGCCAAGGATTCAAACCTAAATGGTTTTGACTTAAACCAGGCCATTAAAAGCACAGGACAGGCAGGAGCTGCTCCTGCAATGTGAGATGCTGCCCAAGTTAGACTTGAGCCCACAAATATTCAGTGTTTTTTTTTCTTTCCCTTCCCATCAGTCCACTTTTTTCCCTCTTTGCATTTCTGATTTTGATTTTTTTTGTTGTTGTTTTAGGCAACTGCTGGCAGCTTGTTCTGCCTGTGCTTCCTGCCTCCCACATCCATGCAGGAAGAGCCCACACAACGGGACACACACGAAAGCTGCACGTGGGACCAGCCCAGGCTCTCTGCAGGTCAGACTCAGCACTTCACCATCCTAAAAAAACCCACCTGTGATCCCTTTTTAAAATTTCTTGAAGAATTTTTGTCTGGTCAGAAGACTTTGGTAATAAAATATAAAATCATAAAAATAGATAGTAAATGGAAAAAAATTACAGCTTAAGATCCGTAATAAAATATAATAAATAATTCATAGACTGCGATTTATATCTACTTTTTCCTAAGCACACGCCATGAATTTCATCCAGGCAGAAAAGAATTTCTCCCTCTGTGTGGAAGCCCAAAGAAATTCTGGGCAGAAACACAAAGCTTCAAAGCAATTTTTGATTTACCATTGGCCAAAATGACTCTTTTGAGGAAAAGAACTTTGCTGGAAGTACTCCTACATAAAACTTGCCATCTCAGAGGATTCTCATGCAATTCTTTTGCTATTCCTAACAGGCATTTCTCAGGAATATTTCATTATTTATGCCTCACTGGGTGTTAAAGCCAGGAAAACACATGAGTGTGAAGCAAGCTGCTTTGAGCTGGGCTGTTCCCAGTGCCAGGAGGGGAAGGAGCAGCTCCCAACCTCTCCCACAGTGGGCTCCTGGTCTCCCAGCCCCACGATGAGGATGCAGTCGGCCTGGCGGATGCAGCGCTGGGTCCAGGGGGTCAGGGTGCTGTCAGCCTGGTACAGCACAATCCTGTGGATGTCCTCCTGCTGGCCCAGCCAGCTGGTCAGTCTGTACTCGTGGATGCTGGGGACACACAAGGAAAACAGAGAATTCAACTGCTGTTATATCACAGCTCCCAAGAGAAGAGAGGGAATCTTACACAGGGAGAGAGTGACATTTCCTGCTCAGCCAGGATCTGCTCCCAGCTCCTGCTGCCTCTGTTTGTCCAGGATTTACACCATTAGACAAACACCAAGGCAGGAGGATACAGTGATGCCTCACTTCAGTAATGCTTCCACAGCATCCCTAAGCAGGAACACACTCAGAGAAATTCAGCTTTTCCAATTTCACAAGTGAGAAAGTATCTGTGGGAAAAACCCACCCACACCTGCACAAATACTCCTGAAACATTATTGTCTCCAACACCAGGAGCAGAAGGCCCAGTGTATGATAGAAGACAGGATTCTGGTCCCAAACTCTGTGTATTTATAAGAAAAGCCCAGTGTCTCTGCCTTTCCCTGAGCAGTGATGAGGGCAGGTACCTGTCGAGAGCAGCAGAGCCCAGGCGCTGTTTGATGTTGTCACTGGTGAGCAACAGGGCAGGACCTGGGGGAACAAGGAAAATCACCTGTAAACACCTCAGTCTGAGCTCCTGGAGAAAACTGCCCAGAGCAGCTGTGCACACCCCATCCCTGGAAGTGTCCAAGACCAGGCTGGACAGGGCTTGGAGCAGCCTGGCATAGAGGAAAGTGTCCCTGTCCATGGCAGGGTGTGGAATAGGATGGATCTTAAGGTCCTTTCCAACCCAAACCATTCTCTGATTCCAAGAATTCAATTCCAAAAGTTTGCTTTGAAGGTAGTGATGGATCAGTACATTGATCAGAGCTGGCACAAAGTCTTCACAAAAATTTTCACACTTTTCTAGGAATACATCTTCCAATTCTACCTATTCCCAGAGCTCTGTTACTGCATTAGTCACAACCTGCAAGCTCTGTTATCCCATTCCTCAAGGTCATGTAGGATCACAGAACCATGGAATGGTTTGAGTTGGAAACGACCTTAAAGCTCATCCCATTCCATGGGCAGGACACCTTCCTGAGGACCAGGCTGCTCCAAGCCCTGTCCAGCCTGGCTCTGGTGACAACTCCTACTGCAGCTGCATCTCCACCACCTCAGCATTCAGAACAGCACACACCTTTACAGCCACAGGAAGGCCAGCATCCTGCTTCCAAAGAAAAAAGCTGTTCCCCCCACCTTCCAAAATACAGAACTTGTTCATCCTGCATTGAACCACCTGCCCAGGTGAATCCTCAAGCTCTCTGCAGCATCACTACTCCTTATCCAACATGCCAACAGGAACTCCAAAAAACATTCCCAAATCTGTAAGGCATGGTCAGACTCCACTACAGACACAGACACATCTGGCAACAACCTTAGATCTGAGCTGAATTTGGGTGTACATAAAGCTTCTTGCAGGCACTTTAGTTTAATTTTCTTATTAACAATTCTAGTGCAGCAGCAATTTGTGCCATATGTGTAGAAGTTGCAGGGTGACTGCAGCTAAATTTAAAAAATGCAAAGAAAAGAAAACTTAAGAGAATAACTGCACACCTAGAGAAAATATTACCTGTGTCTTACTGAGAGAGAAATTCACATTTACAAAACATGACGGAGCAGTTGCTTTTTATTCATGTTTTCATTGTGCAATCCCTCACTGTTTCATTAAAAACAGAACTGAAATTTATGTACTAAATAACAAAACACTTCATTATGTAAGGAGTCTCAAGGCAAGGTTATAATGTGTTCAGTAAAAATCAGGGAACTGTGAACAACCAGCATGGGAGAAGGTCACAAATTCACATTGCTGTATTCAAATAGCAAAACCCCCAGGTACAGATTTGGAACTGGGTGTCCTGACCTTCAGGGCCAACTCATCTCCCCTGTCCTAGGTTACAAATGCAAGATGTGGCTGGGGCTGTGTGTTCTATCCCCATCTGTCAGAGCTGGGGCAGTTCTCTGCTGTCCATGGGCAGTTTTTTCTTGATCTCTGCCCCAGCCAATCCTCCCTGCAGGAGATCTCTGCTGTCCATGGCCACTGAGTGTCCCTGCAGGGCTGATCCAATTCCAGCATCCCATGGGGAGATGCTGCATTGCCCAGGGCAGGAGCCAAGCATTCCTACCTGGATCCAATGGGAGCCTGGCACAGCACAGCAGCCTTTGCCCAGTGCATTGCCAGAGGAGCAGCTTCTGCTGCCCTGCATGGCCAGAGGGAGCCCAGGCCCATCTCCAGCAGCCCTGGAGCTGCAGAGGAAAACTCCCCCCTTGTGCAGGATCCCTGCTCCAGCAGAGCCACAGCTGGCACTGCAGGAGGGCTGAGCCCCCATGGGATGGGGCTGTGCCACCCCCTGACACACAGGGGGAAGGGACTGCTCTGACTCTGGCAGCAGATTTTTTTGTTGTTTTGTATTACTGCATTTGTATTTTAATTTTCCTAGTAAAGAACTGTTATTCCTACTCCCATATCTTTGCCTGAGAGCTCCTTAATTTCAAAATTATAATAATTCAGAGGAAGGGGGTTTACATTTTCCATTTCAGGAGAGGCTCCTGCCTTCCTTAGCAGACATCTGTCTTTTCAAAGCAAAACATTCCCCCTCAGTGCTCAAGTCCTGTTGCAAAGGCTTCACTCTGCTTTAATTGACTTTACTTTTAGACTTGAAGAAGTTCCCAGGTGCCATTTCCATCTTGTACTTTCCAATACCCAAATAACATTTGCTCTTTGCTACACTGATTATCAAAGAAGATCAAACAGAAATGGACAAAAATATCCCATAAGCAGAGACCAAAAGATAAAGCTGGTGAGAAAGCAGAGAGAGGAAGATGACTCAAGAATAGAATTTGACGTCCCCATCCTCCAATGAAAGTTCTGGAAGTTGGTTCCTATGAAAGCAGAGGGAATGAGCAGCACTTCCAGAGCAGATCTGGGTTTAGCCTGCCCTTCCCTCCTCCCTCTGGAGCTCCTTGAGCCATCCCACAGCAGGGAACAGCCCCAGTGCTGGGGAAGGGGGCAACCACCACATCTTTAACACTGGCAGATTCTTTATCTGACTCACTGTTCACCTGGTGTCAGCGTTGGTATGGCTTTGAAATGGCACAAGGGGATAAGAGAGGTCTCCCAGAGGGAATACTGATGGCACTGCCCAGGACAGAACTGCAAGGGACAGAGTGCAGGGCAATTTGCAAGCATTCAGCAGCAGAGTGATCATCAATGTTCATTAACGTGTCAGAGTTCTCAGTTAAATAGAAAAGACAGGTGGATTAAAATTGTATTCCAGGACATGTGGCTTACAAAGCTTTCTGGCAGTGGTGGAAGTTTAGTAGGCAAAGACAAACAGCCTGGAATGCCAAGTGAGCTGAGGAATGCAATCCAAATGCTAAGTAAGAGAGCCAACACCAAGGGAACAGCGTGGGCACCTCTGCCTGTTACCCCCTGCCCTGGGCACTGAGATCCAGCAGCACCAGTCCCTGGTGATGCTCTGGGGCCCAGGCTCCAGAGGGACACCATCAAAGCCACAGACCTGCAGCCAGAACAGCTTTCATCCTAGGGGAGAGGCAGAGTTTGTAGGGCTGGGGTGGATCTTTGTGTTCCTTCAGCCAGAGGCACCTTGGCTGTGGACAACATCAGAACGAGCCTTGGAGAGACTTAAAAATCATATCCAGACTTCACTTCTGATGTGGGAAAGCAGCAGTTCAGAGAACAGGACACAAACAAGGGTGCCCAGACAGACCCTGGCTGTGCCAGCTCAGGAGGAGCCTGCCCAGCACCCCATCCCTCACGTACCAGGAACACGGGACAAAGATTCCCAGACCTTCACTCATCCCCAGCACGGAACACGGTGATGCTTCCAACAGAACCAACTTGTTTTGTCTCAGAAATACCAACCATCTGCTCTGCACTCCCAGTTTCTAGCAGGCTCCCAATTAATCAGCCATTAAAACCCCTCCATTAATGAGACCAAGAGCACCAACATATGTGAGCTCAGAAAACAGAACCAACAAAAAGTGTTATCTCAACTAAACTGCTGCGAGCAATCAGTAATGAAAAAATATCATTCCCATCCTGGAGATTCAAGGCCAGGTTGGACAGGGGTTGGAACAAGCTGGGATAGTGGAAGGTGTCCATGGCAGTGGGTGAGATGGGCTTTAAGGTCCCTTCCAAGCTAAACCATTCCATGATTCTGTGATGATTCAAATCCACAGCCCTTGAACAGCCACACCTGCAGGCAGGAGGGACCAGCCCAACGTGTCAGTGCATCCTTAAAGGGCTTTGTCACAGTCACACACCTCTAAGCACCCCCTCTCCAAACCTGGCACCAGCCTCATGGGCAGCTTCCAGCTGGAGCTGGCATCAGGGACACATCCTGCACTCCTCAGTGTTCTATTAATGGGATCAGAACAGCTCAAAGTGAAGAACAGGAGAGGTGATGTGAGGTAACATGAAATATTCCTCCAAGCCCTGTGTGTGTCTCTGACAGCAGCCAGCAGCAGATTGCTGGGGAGGAGAATCAGAGCAAGAAAAGCTGAGTGCCATTCCCTGAGCCTCCAGCTATCCACAGCTTTCTCAGCCTTTTGGATTTCTCAAGCCTGAGGTGGTGACTTTCAGTAGCCTGGGGCATTTTTCTGTCAGCCAAGAGCTCACAGGGATTCTGAAGCTCAGGTTTTCTGTGCTTCAGGTGAGAGAACTGCAGGCAGTGGCCTCAGCCCAGGCCCAGGGATTGTGGTTTCTGGGAAAACCTCCTGGAGCATCTAAAGCTGTACTCTAGGGCCATCTGTTTTTCAGTACAAAACTAAGAACTCCATGAAACAGGAGGGAAGGGAAGGAAAAGCTGGCAAATGCCAGAGGTCTGGTTCATTTTATCTGCTAACAAACAAGGGCACTGAAGAGAAGGGCTGCAGCAAAGCTTCCAACCTCCTGCCCCAGAGAGGAGGAAAAAACCATCACACAAGACATAAAACCTCCCTTTCTTGCCAGTGAGCAAGAGACTCACTTGGGTCATTTTTCCCACAAAACACGAACATATGCAGAAGCAGGAGTACAGGTGTCCTAGTTCTAAGTCTAATAAAACATGGTCCAAGAGTTGCCTTGAGAAATGAGTGGCCCGGAGGGCAGAGTGATTTCTGAGGCTCAGAAATGGTTTCAAATCCACCTCACCAGAAAAACACACCCATATCAAAAGACAAGGCCAGTACAATATACACTGTGGAAAAATTTCAGCAGAGCAAATTTACTTGCTTGGACTCCATTAAAAGAAAATTTACTTTTGGCCTAATAAAAGTCTTCCAAATTATGTGGCAAAGTCACATAACTGATAAATGAGTTGGATGTCAGAGGATCTTGTCCAGCAAAAAAATACTAAGTGGTGCCAGGGTTCAGGCACCACAGTGAACATTTCACATTTAAATCTAATCTGTGTGTAAAGACAGGCAGAACTGTAATTAAAAACTCCAATAAATTATTAGCAAAGATTTTTCAGTGAGCTGTCCAATACATTATACATTTTTAGAACTGAAAAGAAGGAAAATTTAAAGGGCAGAAAGGAATGAGAGAG